CAGATGTCTAGCAGATCCATGCAACCCAGAGACAACTCAAATCTAATCTACTCCCCAAGCCTACGTGCTACGTTGCTTTCTGCCTTGCTGCTACCCACTAGCGTGCGGAGGCACGAAGGAGAAGGGAAAAACACATCGGTTTGGCTTTAAATACCTGTTTTTTTCTGTGTCTCTGTCACGGGCACAGAGGCAGCGAGCTCAGAGGCTGGTCTGATGATGTTTGCTTATGGTGGGAAGCAGAAATTCAGGGGGCAAAAGAGAGGGTGTAAATTAGAGGGTGAAACAGCACCGGGCTGGGGTAGGGCCCTAACAGGACTTTTCTTTTTTTTTTTTCCCTTCAAATGTCTGGCTGGATGAGCTGGCTTTAAAGCAAGGAGGGATTTGTTTAATGCTTCTAAAATTCAGAAGAGATGAGAAATGACAGAGTATCTCGTTTTGGGACTCTGACCCAGCTTGGGGTTATTGCGACTACCGCAAACGGGCATGTCATCAGGAGCGCGAAGGGTCATCTCTTTAACGAGAGGTTTCCCCTGAGGTCCAGGCAACTTAGATTCACAGGCTTTGGGGATGTCATGGTATTTAAAGAAGTACTTTATATTTTGCAGGACTGGAGGGGGAAGAGCATCTCTGGTCAAGAACAGATCAGAATTAGGCTGCACCTTGATTCACTGTTGCTGGTTAAAGGCACACAATGGACCTTTGGCATCAAACCCAGCACGTTGCCCAGGTAAGAGAGCAGGTTCCTGGGCTGCTGGGTGGCCCTGAGGACATTTGTATTTGGAGCAGCCCCTCCAGGGACAGTCCCCATCCCCAGGCACATCGTCTTGGGGTGAGACCTGGCTCTGCAGAAGCACAGATGGGGGGGTCTAGATGGAGATGAGGAGCTCAGAGCCTAGCCCTGCCTCTATCGAGCCAGAGATATCATGGCTGGACTGTGAGATATTTATTTTTGTCCGTTGCCATCAGTTAACGAAAGCATTGTGAAAGCATTTCCTCTGCCCAGGAAGCAGGTTTTGGAGAAGGGATAAATCCCGAGGTGTATGACGTCTCCCAGGTCCCTCTGACCAGTTTGGCAGGAGAGGCTATCCCCACCACCTCCCAACCCCCCCGCTGCCTTCCTGCCCACCCCAGACGTATGACACAAGCGAGGCAGAGCACTGCGAATCATGCACAAGATAGACAATGAACACACCACCCACACGTACACAGCACTCGAAAAATACAGACCTAAAACGTTGCTACAGGTGAGCATGGATAAAAATCAAATGACCCCAAGCGTGTGGTTCAGATGTAGACGTGATGCCCTGTTGCTGCTGAGGCCATGGCGATGGCAGGAGCTCTGGGCAGGGGTGGTGCATGAACCTCCTCCTGCGCACGTACAACATGGACCTGGGTGAGGAGCACTTCTTAACAGACCGGAGAACCGCACTCTTTCAGGGTCATGCCAATTCCATGGAAGCTGGAGCTAAACCCTCGGCTTCCTGATTATCTACTCAAGCAAGGTACTTCCATGAATACATCTATATTTGCATAAACATGCAATCAAGTTTCCTCATCCCTTTGACTGGCTTCTGGCAGCTCCCCCAGACAGACTGTTACTAACATACTGTGGGTGTAAAACGTCCTCCTGGGAAATATCAGGCCCAGAAAGCATGGCAAGGGGAGGAACGCGTGTCTAATTCCCCCATGAGAAGCTTAAAAAAAATGTCCTGCTGTTAAGTTTTATCTGCTCATTTCCAAAAGACAAGTGAATGCTATTCAGGGAGGGGAGGGAAGGAGGAACACCCAGGAAGAGGACAAAAGTTTTTCTCCACGGGGTGATTTTAGAAATCAGGAAAGGGTGTTTCTGGCGTGTGCATGAGCTCCAGCCCCACACGCTCCCCAGCTGCCTGGGGAGTGTCAGAGCGTGACTGTGCATGGAAGATTGCCCTTGGAGATGCAGCCAGGCTGCGTTTCATCCTCGGGTCTGGCTACAGGGACTTGGTGCAGGACGTAGAGAGCTGGCAAGGACAGAGCCAGCTTCTCCCTTGACCGGACGTCCCATCCCTGGCACAGCTTAGCAAAACCCACAGGCTGCCCTGAGTCTGCCAACGAGTGGCAAAGGTGGCCGCTCGCGTGCTGAGGCAGGAGCCCTCCCTGGGGAATGCCCTCTGAGCGAGAGGATGGTGGGGTAAAGCAGCACCCAGCAGGTACAGTGGGTGTAACTCTCCTGTCTGCTCTGGTATTGCATGTGGAGGTTGGGGATAGAGCAGGATGGGGTCCAATTCCCCTCTCCTTCCAGCCAGGCAAGACTGGGTACGTGGTTTAACTTTACCATGGGACAGTAAAGCCTTTGTTGCTTTCTTTCCCTGCCTTCAGATGGGAGCTGTAAGGGAGCATCTCTTGCAGCCATGCCAGACCTGTGCAGGGCAACATTGCCAAGTGGCTCTAGGAGGGATGGATTTTGAAAACCTGTTCCTTTTTTTTTTTTAAAAAAAAAAGAGAAAAAATGGGAAAAGCGTTGCTTCCCCCACATCCAGTCCTGATCATAACAGAGCGACAGCAGAGTGAGATCTGCTGGTGAGGGGGGATGTCAACCCATGGCATGGTTGTCTTTGGGCTTTGAGGTGGACTCATGGTGGCTGGCTCCCTGCTTACAGGGACCATGATGCCTGCGCCCAGCTCCTCTGACATGTGTCAAAGTGTCCTGGGACTGAATGGAGAGAACAGCAAACCAGGACTGCCCAGAGGCTGGGGAACAGGAACTGAGTCAGGGTGATTTTTATCCATGTCCCTTTATCATCCTACAGAGCAGATAACCAGGGCACCGACACAGCAGCCCCACACGTTCCCCACTGCCACTGGAGGAGCCGGAATGGGAAACGACCAGAAAGAGGAGCCCAGTGGTGGAGTCCCGGCCCTCCGAGCGAGGCAGGGAGCATGGCACCCACCTGGCTGGGTGGTGGTGGCAGGTAGAGGGGTGCTGGTGGTGGTGGTGGTTGTGGTGGTGGTGGTGGTTGAGGTGGTGGTGGTGGGTGTTGTTGTGGTGGTCGTTTTTGCAGTGGTGGTTTTTGTGGTGGTAACCCGCTGCGGGCGCTCGTACGCTAAGACAGCAAAGAGAAGAGGTGGGTGGCACTTACTGGGGGGGGAAACGAAGGGTTTCCCTGCCAGCCCGTGAGGCTGCTGCTGGGGCTGAACTGGTGACCGATTTCTCAGCGCGGTTACAACTGGGGCACTGAGAGGATTAAGGCGGTGGCGGCTCGATGACGCTGGGTGCAGCGCGCGTGTGCGCGGGCAGGGGCCGGAGGCTGCGGCTGTATCAGCTTACTCGTGGTGCAGCTATTGGCTTAAATACTTACGGCTCTGTCATAAACTAATTGCCAATTAAGCTGAAAAGGGGAAACAAAGGCACGCCTGGGCACAGCTGGGGCAAAGAGCGGGCGGGAGGTGCAGCGGAGCCCCCAGCCCGCCCTGCCGGGAGTTGGGCTGCTGCTGCCTGACGCCTGCGTGCCGGATGGCAGAGCCTTACCCACCCCGGCTCCATAAACAGCGCCAGCTCCTTCTGCCACCCCACAGGCAGCAAACTACCCGGCACCATCAAAACCGACCCGTACCATCTCCACGGGCACC